AACGTAATGACTGTTGAGGTACCGGAGCCGGCAGTGAATTTCAATTCACCCTTTTCTCCCAATAACTCGACGGCACCGAGTCAGCTCACTAGCTCACTAGGGTCTCAGTCAAGTAATGGAAATCCGGTTATGTTGTGATAACTCATTTGTCAAAACAGAAAGACACATATGGACAGGTGGCTTAGTTACTAATGTTAGTTGTAATTAATGTCTATTTGTGTCAATACATACCAAACTTCTTTAGTTGTCGTATCGTTTTGGTGTTTCCAGGGTTTGCTTTCATAGATGGCCTCTCCATTGACGGACAGCCAGTGCCCCAAATCACGTAATCTGTCCTCAAATACCGGTTTAATAACGCCGTCGTGTGTCGGCCCAACATTTATCAGGATATTTCCACCGCAACTGATTTATGTCACAAAATATACAATTATGTGTTTAATTAATTTAAAACTTTTAATATATTTTATGAATACCTGATAGTTTGGGCCAATTCTACGAGCAAATCATGAGTAGTTAAATAGTCGGTTGATTTGGCATTACGCCTATAACCCCACGACTGCTTGTCTATAGTCATGGCGTTCTCCCACTTGTGCTTAAGTAAGACTCCCGGGTTATACCTGTCGGCATAGTTGAAGAAATCACCATGCTTACCACTAACACCATTTCCTAACAAATTTATTGCCATATATGAATTTAATATTCAACTAATTTCCCTTGCCATTAGTTTAATTTACCCCATCTATCGTTGACAACAATGGTATCCTTTACGGGACTGTTAGCAAAATAATTATTTTCTCAATTAGTACAGTAATGTATTATATTTCATAAATGTTATTAAATCACCTGTCGTTATACAGCCAGGCTAAAAATTTTTGACTTTCCCAATATTCAGCGGGACCAGCGTCACCATCAGACCAAATGAGATCCGGTTTGTATGTATTGACCAATTCCTCCAATTCTGGACGAGTTTTTATCTAATATACAATAGATTCTCATTTTATACTTTATTATACCTCATAAAAAACTATATTCTTTATAATGTATAATAATTAATTTAATTTATTTGTGAATAAATAGTAAGAGTACACTTAGTCCAAATAATTAAATTAAATTTGTGTAAAACTAAAATTGATATTGCTAGTATATATTCTATTAGATTTGTTAAAATTCTTATTTTAAAATGAAATATACGATAAAACATATCACATACTTCAACGAATTAATAATCATACAGATTAAAGTACATATTATTAATAATTTTAATATAATTTAAATTAATATTTATGAAAATTGCTTACTTTGGTGAAGTCATTAGTGGTAAAATTGTTAGCCTGGTCCTTTAGATAAAACGGATTGAACCATTCAAATAGCGAGTGATAAACACCGAAGTGAAGACCGGCGTTCTTCACAGCAGTCGATAAATCACCTAAAATTACATAACAATTATTACTATTAATTAAAACACTAATAAATAGTAAATTATAAATATTTCACAAACCGACTAAATCCCGATTGGGTCCGACATCCATAGCATTCCAGTTATAGGACACCTTCGATGGCCATAATGTGAAGCCTTCGTGATGTTTGGTCGTCAGCACCACATACTTAGCACCCGATGCTCTGTATGAACACAATTATACAGTATATTGTATAATTATACTACAATTATAGAGATATAATTAGTATTACTGACTTGAAAATCTCAGCCCAATAAGCAGGGTCAAAGAATTCTGCGGTAAATTGTGCGGCAAAATCTCCGTAAGTAAAGCCCGGCCTATAGTTCTTTGTCATGAAGTCTACGAAGTCTTTCTTTTTCTCGGTCTTCCAGCGCTGCCTACAATTCAATCGTATATTATGAATATATTATATATAATTATTAAATTAATTTAAGCATTTATAATACTAGAATAGTCCCTGGCTACTAACGATAATACCAAAGAAACTAAAATTATATTAAAATATAACAAAAATAAATTGAGCTATTTTATATTATTATATTTATAAACATAAACACTAATAAATGCTAACCAAAACCATTCGGTGCCATATGAGGGAACGGAGAAAACTCCCCAGTGTAGAAAAATGCCCACTTTAGCCTGGTCATACCACACCGGCAATGGTCTCTTGTCGAGCGACTCCCAGTCCGGGGTATACTTTTGCACCGTTAGGTGAGAGTCAACCACAACGTAAGCTAATAGTAAGCAAATGAATGATTTATATAATAAAGCCATGATTTCTATGAAACCTAATTGAGTCCTAAATTAATTGAAGTGTTTGTTGTTTGTTGCTTTTATAGAAAATATTAAAAGTGTTTTATTTATCAATACTTTGAAATATGATACTTTTATAAGTTTGTTAGATATTTAATAGATAACACCCACGTTATCAGGCTAAAATTCTTTTAAAATAAATCAAAGTCTAGTTAATTATATCTTAAATTTTTGTTTTTGTATGAGTCAAGTAGGATTTTAGATTTATTATATAACATAAAGGTAACTTATATTTTATAATTTATACTAATAATGCTACAAACTAGTATTTATTTATTGTCTAAGTACCAGGTACTAAGCAATTGAGAATTGCAACTACATTGTTCAAAGGTAAAATGTATATTTATTCAATATATCACTGAATAAATCTTATAAATTATACTTTACTGACATGTAAAATGGTAGGAAGTACAGGTACTATCATTGTACTATTATGTCACATCAAAAAAATTAATATTTTTAAAATTGTAATTTTATATAAAGTGAGAATAAAGCAACGTAAAAAATTTTCTTACTCATAATTAGATAAATGATTATAAAAGTCAATGATAATTTGATAAATAATATTACAAATGATCCAGAACTTGAGTCTTATATTTAAAAAATAGTGACAAAATTTAGTAAGTGGTCAATACCTATAACTGAAATGGTATTGTAATTTTATTAAATATACTATTTTTCATTCATATTTGCTTTAGTAGAAATTTTCTTAATACATATTAATGTATAATAAATGAATACATATTGTAAGCTATTATATCTTATAAGTTATAACTTATAAGTTTCATTTTATTTATCAAAACATTAATTTGTTATAACATTACTGCAATTTAAGTGTATACCTACACTACATAATTCTACAAGGTAATTTACATAATTGGCTAGATTAGAGTACTATTTTGCTGTTATTTTGAGCACCCAGGCCCATTTGGCAACGCTATCCGGAGTAATGTGTGGGAACGTAATGACTGTTGAGGTACCGGAGCCGGCAGTGAATTTCAATTCACCCTTTTCTCCCAATAACTCGACGGCACCGAGTCAGCTCACTAGCTCACTAGGGTCTCAGTCAAGTAATGGAAATCCGGAATACAACACTATTGAGTAAACAGTTTTGTCTTTCTGTGTATACCTGTCCACCGAATCAATGATTACAATCATGTAATTAATGTCTATTGTTGTCAATACATACCAAACTTCTTTGGTTGTCGTATCGTTTTGGTGTTTCCAGGGTTTGCTTTCATAGATGGCCTCTCCATTGACGGACAGCCAGTGCCCCAAATCCCGTAATCTGTCCTCAAATACCGGTTTAATAACGCCGTCGTGTGTCGGACCGATGTTTATCAGGATATTTCCACCGCAACTGATTTATGTCACAAAATATTGAATTATGTGTTTAATTAATTTAAAACATTTTAATATATTTTATGAATACCTGATAGTCTGAGCCAATGTTAGGAGCAAATCATGAGTAGACAAATAGTCGGTTGATTTGGCATTACGTCTATAACCCCACGAATGCTTGTCTATAGTCATGGCGTTCTCCCACTTGTGTTTCTGTAGTACTCCCGGGTTATACCTATCGTGATAGTTAAAGAAATCACCATGCTTGCCAGCAGTTCCCGACCCTTTACAAAAAGTCTCGGTATTATGAGTTTTGCTTTAAAGTAAATTTGATTGATTTAATTTACCCCATCTATCGTTGACAACAATGGTATCCTTTACGGGACTGTTAGAAATAATTATATAAATGAGTTTTGCATTAAATTTCATAAACGATTTTAAAATTACCTATCGTTGTATAGCCAGGCAAAAAATTTTTGAGCTTCCCAGTACTCGGGGTGAGCACCACCACTGCCATCAGACCAAATCAGATCCGGTTTGTATGTATTAACCAATTCCTCTAATTCTGGACGAGTTTTTATCTAATAAATTATGTTTCTTATGTTAAACTAATTATAAACTGTATAATATATTTAATATTATTTTTAAATTAATTCAGTTCCTACAGCAAACTACCCTAAAAACATTTCAATAATTTCACATCTAAATCTTTATATTTAAGTATCATTACAAGTATTTCTACATTTTAGTGGAAGTATCAAAAATTTTACTTTAAAAATTTTTCTCATGATAATAAAATGCCTTTATACTATCTCTAGTACTGTATCTTATAATTAAAAATTATTATTAATAATTGTACAGATTAAAATATGTTTGTTGTATGTTTGTAGATTAAAGTACAAATGCATATTTTTTAGATTAAGCTAATGATTATATACTCATAGAAGGCCACTTACTTTAGTAAATTCATTAGTGGTAAAATTGTTAGCCTGGTCCTTTAGGAAATAAGGATTAAACCATTCATAGAGTGAGTGATAAACACCGAAATGAAGACCGGCGTCCTTTACAGCAGTCGATAAATCACCTAAAATTGCAATAAAATTATTACTATTAACTAAAGTACTAATAAATACTAAATTATAAATATTTCACAAACCGACTAAATCCCGATTGGGTCCGACATCCATAGCATTCCAGTTATAGGACACCTTCGATGGCCATAATGTGAAGCCTTCGTGATGTTTGGTCGTCAGCACCACATACTTAGCACCCGATGCTCTGTATGAACACAATTATACAGAATATTATAAATAATAATATAATTTAAAAATATAGTAGTACTGACTTGAATATTTCAGCCCAATATTTGGGGTCATAAAACTCAGCCGTGAACTGAGCGGCAAAATCTCCGTAAGTAAAGCCCGGCCTATAGTTCTTTGTCATGAAGTCTACGAAATCTTTCTTTTTGTCGGCCACCCAGCGATGCCTACAATTAAAACATATATATTTAAATATAATGTACATTACGGTAACCTTTATCTAAGTGATTAAACAGTATAGAAAATATAAGTTTTTAACTAGTTCACTTAAAAATATACAATAGTTTTATGGTTTAAGAAAATACGAGTAAATGCTAACCAAAACCATTCGGTGCCATATGAGGGAACGGAGAAAACTCCCCAGTGTAGAAAAATGCCCACTTTAGCCTGGTCATACCACGCCGGCAATGGTCTCTTGTCGAGCGACTCCCAGTCCGGGGTATACTTTTGCACCGTTAGGTGGGTGCCCACCACAACGTATGCTAATAGTAAGCAAATGAATGGTGAGAATAATGTCATGATGTCTATAAGACTTGAGACTATAAAGTCCTAAATGATTGAAGTGTTTATTTGTTGTTTTTATAGAAAATATTAAAGTGTTTAACCTATCAAATTGTGAATTACTTGATAAGTTTGTTTGGTAAGTATTTTATTTAATAGAAAAATACCATAGTTATCATACTAAAATGCTTTTAAAAATTAATCAAAGTCTAATTAATTATATCTTAATTTTTGTTTTTGTGTTCTCATGTAAGATATGAGATTAATTAAAGGTAATTATAATCACTTTATTACAATTTGTACTGTTATCAATTACAATGTACCTAATTTACCTCATTGTCTAAAGTTTAGACTCTAAACATCAAGTACAAAGCATTTTGGACTATAAGCCACTACATAGTTTAAAGTCTAAGTCTTAGATGAGCTTAATCTAATATATGGCTTAATTTGATAGATTATAATAAATTTATATTATTAATAAATTATTAAGTTTTTAATAATAACATAATTTGTTAGTTAATAACATGTACCCAACGCCTACCGTGAGACAAAGGGTGTTGTGAACATAAGTTGCTAATTAATATCCGTATCGTTTAAATCCTATTAAATAATTATAATTGTAATCGTATCAAGCGAACTATTTTTGAACTATTTACTTCTACTGAAAAAGTCCATTGATGTTTTTATAACGTAAAAATGAGATTTAAGTATACAATCCAAATATACTGATCATCAAAGTGTTGGACACATGGGGTGTTGTGAGCGGAAGTCTATTGAAACATAACTTAAAATTGAATGGGGATTTTGACGAATGTCTGGTCATTAATGTTAAGACAACAAATAAACATGGCTTTTAAAATGTCGATTTTGATGGTCAATATTGTTCATTAGAAATACCTGAGCAATTGGTAATAAAATTCATGCTACTGTATAATAATCTAGTGTAACATACATGTTCACTTTAACACATTTTAAATAATATAAATTAGGAAAATATATAAAATCTATAAATTGCAAAAAAATATTAATCTTCATTATTTAATGAAAATAAGCTGTAAATAATTGAATTATAAAATAAAAAATTACAAAAAATGAACAAGAATGCACAAAAGTGAATGTACCTGCCAGGTTTCGAACCTGGGACCTTCTGTGTGTTAGACAGATGTGATAACCACTACACCACAGGTACCCACATGAGATATGCTCGCTTAACATACATAGCACTCAATAGATACATTTGAAGACAACTGTATTGATTCATTTAAAAGAGATCAGGGTCATTGATAAAGCTAATACTCTTCAAATGTAAAACTATTAACTAAACTAATTTTTAAAATTATTTAGTAAATTAAATTTCAACAATGGAAACTTGAAAAAACTTAATTACAGTATTGTATATTATTGTTTAATATTACAGAGCTTACACAATTATTTATTAGTCGTATCCATAGCACTGGTATCCCTGATATGGACCCTGGTCTGGCCCTTCTATTATACAAATCAATACCAATATATGGCAAATGTATTGGGCCATATGCTGGGCCTACATATTGTACGCCTGTATTAAAGGTCGAGCGCCGGTACTAAATGGTATCTCGTGGAAGGCATTGGTGCCGTTCAGTAGACTATCATTTTAGGCATACCTCTATAATCTGTTGATTATTTGGGCGTCGGTTTACAAATCGCGACAAATTATACACTTATCTAAAGAAGTTTTAGTAAGAATCAGCTAGATTCATTTAAAATACATTTAAAATACACACATTATGTGATTACAAATTGTAATTTTAAAATGTAACTTATTATTAAGGTTCACTACTTAAGTTAATTTTTGTTACGTTAACAAAACTATATTGAGATTTGAAGTGAATTTCTATTATTTTAATTTACAGCTAAAGTCGTGGATTGATTACACAGTCATCTCATATACAGTATAGCGGGTTGTGTCACATTCCTTAAGATTGAAGCGCCGGTAGCTAACATCGTGGCAGTATTTATGCCTAAGAGAAGTTTCAATATCACCAAAAAATCTATTGACATCAAACTGTATTAATTTTATTTTATATAATTTTTACAAAATGCTTACTTTATATTACAAAAGTTAAAATTTTATAAATGGTTTGATTTAAATATATTTCACTGTAAATGATAATCAAATTGAAATTCTATTAGAATTTTAAATTTTAAAATTAAAATACAGATATTCATAATATTTTATCATATTAATGTATTCATATTATTAATTACCGTTAACTTAATATTGATTGATAATCAACTAAATCTATTATTAATTATTTGCTATTTTCATGGCCTGATTCCTTGATGTCATCTTTGTATAAATTTTTTATTCTGGACGACAAAAACACTACAATTATGTCAAACATAGTGCCCATAAAACACAGGCCTAGAGTGAGTCCGTGCAGTCGAGTCCGGAGTTTATCGGAATCATAGACCAGACAATTACCGGGTTTACCACATTTGGATGACCACACTTCACACGCAGAGTTAGTCACCCATCCACACACTAGTGGGTACGGGATGTATGCTATAAATGTATCGTATACTACTATGTTACATACTAATTAATTTAAGCAATGTCATTTTACTAGTTACCAAATAGTGAATAGAAAGCTCCACCTATTCCTACCGCTAGACTCTTATCCACGGAATCTATGATCCTGAACAGTTTTCAAACAAAAATTTCTAACTACGGTAATTAAAAATCATACGATAAGTATTGCACAGACCTGAACGATATGATGACATTCCCAGCATATGCTGTCTGTCCAACGAGTGCACCCAACCCTAACAGCAATACATAGGTCTCAAAATTATTGCCACAATTTGTAGGACAAATTGCTTGAGTAGCCGTCCCCTCAATACAATCACACGTTGAGTATTGCTATCGAAACAGATTTGTTACAAAAAACAATTATAATTAATATTACATTTAATTTTTAAAACTCACATTTGATGAGCCATTAGACGCCTGTATAAATGATTCCGGTCTACATCCTGCTAAGCATGGTGATAAATAATTTGTATAGTTATCTGGACCACAAATCGGCTGAATTTTAGACAGTGAACAGGCACAATTTGCGCCGCATAATGATTGGTCTCCCAAATGACTGTTTTATGGAATAATTTTTATACAAATTATTATAAAATAAATAAAAATTTAATTTTAAAATACTCAGTGTTTTTGTGTAATAGTGGGGCAAATGGTGTGGTAGGACAGCCTAGAAATAATCCGGATACAAATCCAATTGTCCCGAATATTTCAGTAAATGCAACAAGTAATGTTAAAAGTTTGGCACCAGGTTGTTTGTATGTCAGATATAGGCCACCCAGTATCATACCAAGTGCTGCCGGTATGACACTCACAAAACCTTGAAATTAATTTATAATTCAAGATTATGAAGTAATTAAACAATTTATCAAGCTAAACCATTTTAGTGAGTTTGTATATAATATTTTGTAAATATTTCATAATTATCATATGGTGAATTAATTAATTAATAACATAACTCAAAGCTATTGATTGAAATTGTATTAAATAAAAATTTAAACATTAAATAAATAGATACAAGTATTATAATAAACATTTAATAAGTTATTATGTTTGTGACAAAACCATACAAAATATTTATAATCTTGATTATTGATTGCTAATTTAAATTGCATTTGAAGTGATAGCATGTGATATTACAACCGCTTTAATCAATTTATAATAATATGATTTATATGATATAAACTTTGAAATAAACTTATGCTGTACAGTGTATTTACATAACATATAAACAAGTGTATAATTAATTTGATATATCTTTGACTAAAAAAATGTTAATAAAAATTTATTTAATTAAAGTTATGGTGAAATTTGTGTTAATGGCATAAAAGTAATTCTCGACATTTAAGTAACAAACTGTATTTTTGTTAAAGCAATATTATGTTTTTATTAATATATAATAATTATCAAATTTATAGTGCTTTGAAAATTAATAATCATATGACATACAGTGTTTTACTACAATTAATATAAACTTAGCATATACGGTAATAAATTATTAACTAAAAAAGGTGTACTATTTAAATGATATATTTTCCATATAAGAAATATGTAATAAAAAATATAATTAAAATTAATAGTACAATGAATATTAAATAAGTTGTAAAAATGATAGACATTTAAATAAAACTTAAATAGTGCTACAGAAAAAAACTATTTCAATTATTAAACACATACATTAGCAAGTTATTTATATATTGTTATTAATTCATTTCCAAATTATATACTAGTCTTAGCTGTCAAGAAAAGTTTGAGTGAATGTTTTACTAATAAAATATTTAGTTTATTGTATTTAACATCTTTATAAACAAGTGAAACAACTCACATAATTTTATAACCATTAAGACAATAATTATTAGTTTTCTAAACTCTTATCAACAGATTAATTGTTTGCAAACATTTTTATTAATAATTAAGATGTGAATAATCTAATAATTTTTATTCAGTATGTAAATCGGCTATTATTGTATAGCCTCTAATGTTTTATTTAATAAACTAATTTAAATAATGTATAATATTTCAAATAAAATATTAATATTATTGCAAATATTTAAATAAGAAATACATATAAAATATATTAATATAATAATAATAGTTTGTTTGCCTTAATATAATGTCAACTAAATAAAACATAATATAATATAAAGACATTAATTAGAAATAAATCAATAGTACTGTATAACATAGTATGTAATGAAAATTATTTGAATTTTTAAATAACACTTTAAGTCCGCTTAATGATGTCAACTCACAATGAACTGGATCATGCGAGTAAAACTGAGAGATTATTAGTGCCATTAGCAAGCAAGTTAATGAGGTATAAGATATTTGCCACAAATAAATGGTTTGTATGCAATACAAATGCAAATCTCAACAGGACCAATGATGAATTAATTATTATGACACCAAGGGTTAGATAATTTTGACATTTATTAATATTTACATCATTTATTAATTTATTATTT